TCGCCGGAGGGGATGCCGCTGGCAGCAGGACCATGGCCGATCTCACCGCCAGGGTAAGTCCCGTGTCTCGATGCAAGTGAACCGACAGACGGCTGACTGTGCACCAGGCTGCGAGCCAGTGCCCCAACACGCGGATCGTCCTCAGCGGCTACAGCCAGGGCGCCCAGCTCGTCCACAATGCTGCCGAGCAGATCAGCGCTGCTGTCACCGCCAGGGTCACCGCCGGTACGCATGCCGCATCTCCTGTTCTGATTGCTGTGTACTAACATGTTCTGTTGTAGTCTTGACCTTCGGCGACCCCGACCGCGATGAGGCCTTTGGCTCTATCCCTGCTGCCAGGACGCGCGTGATCTGCAGGTCCGGCGACAACATCTGCGATGGTGGCATCATCGTCACGTCTGCCCACCGCCAGTACCAGCAGGATGCTCCCGCGGCCGCCACTTGGGTGGCTGCCAGGGTTCAGTGATGGAGATGTCCGGTGACTGGCTTTCTAGGCAGTGGTCTTCCAGGAGTCAGAATGAGGTTCTGGTCATAATTCGAGGCTTGAACGCCAGCGCTTTGCCTTGTCCATTTGCCGCTGCCACGTTGTTTCGTTCATGTGCACCAAACAAAGTAGACCCTGGCTTTTGTGTAAATTTGGAGATAGGACTATTCTGGAGACGCCGTACCGGCCACTTGGAATTTCTGCTTCCCGCATGCTCCGTCTCGCCTTGGGATTTCAGCAGCTGCCTTCCTGAAAGCCGCTTCAACGCTAGAACTCGAGGTGTGCCGCGCACAAGCCGAGGCTTCAGCCGGCGGAGGTGATCGAAACCATGACAAAGGTATAGGAAAGCCTGCCCTTCTGCTCAGTCAGCGGAGGCACGAGACAGAGCTTGTCTGGATGTTCATTTCAACAACAGGCAACGCCCCACGAGGACGCTGGCCGACCTGGTCAGACTGTCGGGAGGTATCTCTCGTCAGTCAGCTGGCGCTCGAGAGACAAGTAGCGAGGGCTGAACAAAGCGATGTGACGACCTAAATCTAGCGAGAATGGACGATGGATATGGTATCTGTACCATGTAGGGACATGTGTGAGTAAGGTATGCGTCCTGGTCTTGACCTTCTGAAGCATCGCCAGTGGGTGTGTTGCTTAGTCATCGGGGATGCAGCCTTCCATCGACGGAGTGTACATGTACCAGGTCGCCTGTCAGACGAGAAAGAGTCAGCTCGTTCGCGCTGTGAATGGCGGCGGACTCGGCCCACGCCAGAGGCCCTCGTGCGGAGCCGAGACCTCTGTTCGGGATTTGACCACCGGCATTTGAAGCTCATTCGCATCGTGGCGGACGCCCCGTAATGGGAAATAGCGTTCAAGGGATTGGCCGTCGCGGTGGGACACGGAAGGCGGCGACGTCCATCTCGTCAGTCGCCTCGGTGTCCACCAGGGTGCATGGACAGACAGATTCACGTTGGCGAGAGAGAAACGCTGCACATCCGAGTGAATAGGCAGAAAGAACGAGATATAAAGCACGATGCAGTCGGCTGACAGATTTGCAGCTTTGAGTCGAATGCCGACTGGACGCATGGCCTGCGTTCAAAGCCCGATAGTTCTGGTCTCGGGACTACGGACGGGCAGAGGGAAATGGAAAGATGGTCTGATAGGGAACGGTGGCCAAAGGGGCAATTTATGGAGACGCCAGAAGCACAGTTTGCCGTCTCGGCTCGGTGGTTCGGCCTGTGGTGCATCAGTGTCAGATTCAGTGGAGCCTGCGCACTGGTAGGGCCGTAGGGGCTTGGAGGGGCACTTCCAGGCGCACGTAGGTACCTAGGTTGCTAGGCAGGTAAGGTAGGTTAGGAGTGGCGTGAGCTCAGGGGTAGGCGGGAGTCGAGAAGCCGCCCCAGCGTGGTGGACGTCATTCGTCATGGCGCGGGCGCTGACAGGCGTTGCGTGCCACTGAGTGACCGCATTGGGCCTGGCGACATTTTGGCTTGTGATGGCGCCGAGCATCTGGGTGGCATGGTGCCTGGGAGGACCCTGACTGTGTGGAAGTCTCTTTGATAAGACATTCGGACGAGGACGCTGCCCGATCGAAGTCGTTGCTGGCGGAGGCAAGAAGCAAAAGAAAGGAAACATGACAAATAGACGTCTCTCGACGAGTAACGGACTCTCTGATGAGTAACGGAACTCGTCTGTGTAAAGTGGCTCCACCGGGAAGTTTTTCCCCCATCGTCGAGTCGCGTTCTTTCGCTCCCTCCACTTTTCGACTTATCTGATGGAGTCGAATCCCGAACATGGACCACTCAGGAGGCGCCAATTAGGCATTCGAGGGCCGTTATCCTCGTGCGGCTTTCCAGTTTTCGTTCGAGAACGCGCTGCACCTGCACAAGCACCGTCTGCCGGCATCTGACCCTTGGGAGGGCCCAGGTAAAAAGGCCTAGGGAGGGCCGTCTGCCGTGCATGACCGTTGCGGGAGGAACGTTCGAGATTTCTTCTGTCACCGATTCGCCTTCCTCTTGGCTTCCTACTTGACCTTCGTCTTCCCTGTCGACCCTCCTTCTTTCTCCTCTGACCCTTCCCTTCCTTCCCTTCCTCCTCCCACACACTCTCTTCACAACCCATCGTGAACTGGTTTTTTTGGTGTCCATCCTACAAACACAAGAACCCTACAAGGTACGTTGCCTACCGACACGAACCCACCCCCCTTTCCCCCACTATTCACACGCTGACCAGACCACACCAGATGGCTGCCAACACGACCCGTCAGTTCGCCCGCACGGCGCTGCGCTCCTCCACGCGTACCGCCTTCGCCGCTGCGCCCCGCCAGGCCTTCCGCCAGGGCCACCGTTTCTACTCTTCCGAGGCCCCCAAGGCTGCCGGCCCCAACTGGGCTCTGCTGTCTGGCCTCGCCGTCGCCGGTGCCGGTGGCGCCTACTTCTTCACCCGCGAGGGCGGCGTCTCGGCCGGCTCGGTGCCCAAGGTCGTCAACCCCACCAAGAAGGACTACCAGGACGTCTACAACGAGATCGCCTCGCGCCTCGAGGAGAAGGACGACTACGACGACGGCAGCTACGGCCCCGTCCTCGTGCGCCTCGCGTGGCACGCCAGCGGCACCTACGACAAGGAGACGGGCACGGGCGGCAGCAACGGCGCGACGATGCGCTTCGCCCCCGAGGGCGACCACGGCGCCAACGCCGGCCTGAAGGCGGCGCGCGACTTCCTCGCGCCCGTCAAGGCCAAGTTCCCCTGGATCACCTACTCGGACCTCTGGATCCTCGGCGGCGTCTGCGCCCTCCAGGAGATGCAGGGCCCCCTCATCCCCTACCGGCCCGGCCGCAGCGACCGCGACGTGTCCTTCTGCACGCCCGACGGCCGCCTGCCCGACGCCACCAAGTCGCACGGCCACCTGCGCGACATTTTCTACCGCATGGGCTTCAACGACCAGGAGATCGTCGCCCTCTCCGGCGCCCACGCCCTCGGCCGCTGCCACACGGACCGCAGCGGCTTCACCGGCCCCTGGACCTTCTCGCCCACGGTGCTGACCAACGACTACTTCCGCCTGCTGCTCGAGGAGAAGTGGCAGTGGAAGAAGTGGGACGGCCCCAAGCAGCTCGAGGACAAGTCGACCAAGACGCTCATGATGCTGCCGACCGACTACGCCCTCATCGAGGACAAGGCGTTCCTCAAGACGGTCAAGGCCTACGCCAAGGACAACGAGCTCTTCTTCAAGGACTTCTCCAACGTCATTGTCCGCCTCTTTGAGCTCGGCGTGCCCTTCAAGGAGGGCACCGAGAGCTGGGTCATGAAGCCCACCTGGGACGAGTCGCCTTGAGGCGTCGGTCAGACGCGGGGATGCCGCTGCGTGGATGAGTAGACTGTCGGAGCGATCTGACGAGAGAGAGAGAGAGAGAGAGAGAGAGAGAGAAAGACCCGGATAGAGTAGAAGGGACCGCGAGAGAGGACCGCGGTGATACCATGCCGCGCCACGGCCGGCACCTGTTGATATCTCCTTGCTGTTGTTATTAGCCTGTACAACCATTTCAAGACCTTTGTCCGATGCGTGAGGCGTGTGTGTCATGATGTTCGCAGTTCAGTCTGGTGAAGATTCGCTGGTTCGGAAAAGTCGATGTCGACCCCAAACATGACGTTGTTCAAGCACCAGCCCGCCGTCTCCAAGGCCAAACCTTCGCACCCCCCTCACGCAGAGCCTCAACCCCAAGCGCCTGAAGGGGGTCCTCGATGCAGAGTTGCTCCTCGGCCAGTTTCCCCGCATGAGAGCAGCAGGAGCAGCAGGCCTCTCCGCACCAAATCCAAAAAGTCCGGGGGTGCGATCCTCGCGGGTGGCCCGCCATCCGTCTTCCCCATGTTTTATTTTTGGTTTTTTGGTTCTTTGGTCTGCTCTGCTGGGCTGGGCGGAACGGGAGGGGAGGGGGTCTCTCGCGGGTTCGGGGGGGCGGGCCGCGAAGGTGCTCGGGTTTTGGGCACCGAGGGGGTGCCGAAACGGTGCGGGTTGACCGTTCGTCTGCTTGTGGGCGTTTTGCTCGGGTGCTCGAATCTGGGGAGCTTCTTTTGGTGACACTGATGCATGGTGCCGACACGATGTACGGTGCAGACTTGATGGGCGATGGGACGATGATTGCAGTATTCTGAGGTGACTACTAAGGTCTGTGATGAAAAGGGTGCAGCGTCGGCTGGAGAGAATACCCAGCGTGCAGCCCGTTCGTGACGAATGCTGAGAACGACGCCATCAGCAACTCATGCAGTGCCAAGTCTAGAGCTGGTGTTTCTGCCGACGGAATTGTCCTGTATTGATAAAGCAGAGATGATTCCCTCATCAAAGGAAAAAAGGAAGGCTACGACCATGTGCGAAGGGCCAACACCACAGAAGGCTGCTTACGTAAGGCTTCAACATGGTCGTGAGAGAGCCCCAGTTTGGTCCCACGAGCACACTCAACATAGCATCCCATCTGGACACCCAACCATCCGAAGACGATCCCAGACCACGACAGCTGGTCCCGCATCCACCATGGCGTCCTGTCGCACCCCCGCGCTGCGCAACCTCCTGACCTCGTCGACGCGCACCCTCCGCGCCGCCAACCAGCGCCGCTGGGCCCAGGTCCACGACGTGCGCTTCCTCGCCACGACGCAGCCGCGCCGCGCCCTTGCCGACAAGTACCGCGAGAAGCTCAACCAGAAGGCCCGTCTCGAGGGCCACCAGTCCGTCGACGACCTCAGGGCCGCCTACGCCGAGCGCATCGACGAGCTCAAGAAGAAGGCGACGATAGAGATTCCGCTGCCCACGCCGCCGCCGAGCCCTTCCTCCTCCCCGCCTCCTCAGCCAGCAGCAGCAGCAGCAGCAGCAGCAACAGGAGCAGCGCCAGCAGCACCACAAGCAGCGCCAGCAGCACCACAAGCAGCGCCAGCAGCACCACAAGCAGGGGCACCACCAGCAGCAGCCGCCGCCAAGTCCGCCCCCTCCAAGTCCGCCTCGGGCGTCAAGCCCCTCGGCGACATTCTCGACCTCGAAAAGGCCGCCGCGCTGCCGGCGAAGGAGCTCACAGCCATCTGGCGCCTGCGCCACGCCCACACGCCCAACACGCTCTGCGCCGTCATCCCGTCGCCGACCTACACAGCCATCGAGGCCCTGGCGCGCCGCGCGCCGCAGTTCGTCCTGCCCGGGCCGCGCCCCGACCAGGGCGCCGAGATGCACTTCCTGCAGTGGGTCTTCGACGCCGCGACGCGCACGGCGACCGTCATGTTCACGCAGCTCGCCGAGTTCAAGGCCCGCGGCGAGTTCGCCCAGCCCCACACCACCGTCACGCACTACACGGACCTGCGCGACGCCGAGGCCGGCCTCGTGCTGATGCAGGGCCAGGTCGTCGACGGCCGCGGCGCCTCCGTCGAGGACGCCCGCTGGCTGCTTCTGTGCCTGCAGCGCTTCTACGGCGGCTGGGACCTCGAGGCCAAGGGCGGCGAGCCCGATCCGCAGCGGCTCGAGAGGGCTGTCGAGAGGCGGCGCCTGCTCGAGTGGTTCGCCGCGGCGGATCCGAGGTTCAGCGTCGAGAAGCTGCTCGAGGAGGCCGAGAGGATGGGTTGACGTTGTACTCTGGGGGCTCTGATACGCTGGCTGTGACGATAGACTGTAACGACTTGTAAAAACGGTGTAGAGGCAGCATAGAGTAGATGTATAACAGCTGGCATGGCCATTTCTCGTTACATTGATTACATTGAGGCAACACGCCCAGCGCCTTGCAGTGCTTGCAGCACGCATTATCTAAATCTGAAATAAATCTGAAAAAAAGAAAAAAAAGCTCGTAACGTAAGTCTAAGTATTAAACACTGCACCAAACGCCTCGTATGCCATTACTGCCCCCTCCCCTCCCTCCCCCTCCCCCCGGACAACGTCTCCTCACTGCTGCTCGACTGCAACTCGTCCGATGCGGGCCACACCGGCTCGTCCCGGGGATCCCAGGCCTCGACGCCCTCGCACCCCTTGGGCACGCGGCACAGCGCACGGGCATGGCACGTCTTCCACAGCACCTCGCGCAGCTCGCCAAAGATCTGCCGCGGCGCGTCCATGGCCCAGATGACGTCGAGGTGCTCGTACGCGGGGATGACCTTGCTGTGGACGACGCGCACGTGCGGCTCCCTGCCCTTCTCGAACCGTCGCAGCAGCTTGCGCCCGTCGACGAGGTCGTCGTTGCCGGCGACCCAGAGGGCAAAGGGAGGCGCGCGCTCGTCGTACCACGCCGTCGCGCCACGGGGCTTGTCGAGCTGTGCGCGAACAGCGTCCGCCGAGGCACCGCCGTTGGCACCGCCGGCGGCGTCGCCGGCACCGAGGCTGTGCGGACCTGTGCCCTCGTGGTGGTCCTCGCGCTCCTCGGCCTGGACGGCCTCCTTGGTGGCGAGGATGCACTTGTGGTTGGCGAAGCAGTCGCGACCGAGCCACCAGCGCATAGACTCGGCGCTGACGTAGACGGGGGCGAACTGGAACATGCGGTTGCGCAGGTCGCGCTCCCAGCGTTCGTCGGACCAGTCGAAGAGAAACGAAAAGACCTTGTAGCCGAGCCAGCCGTAGAGGCGCGGCGGCAGCAGGCGGTGCATGGTCATCATGAGGGGGATGAAGGCGCCGAGGCCAAAGACGATGCGGAAGAGAGCCGGCGAGATGACGCGCATAAACTTAAAGTAGGCCTTGCCGATGAGAGGGCCCGCGTACGCCGCCGGCGCGAGGGCGCAGAAGACAGTGAGGCGGTCACCGAGGTCGGGGCGCTGCTCCTTGGCCAGGGCCACGAGTGTCTGCGTTGTGCCCTGCGAGTGGGCGATGAGGCCGATCTTTTCGAACCCCGTCTCGCGCAGCACGCGCGACACGAGGGCCGGGAGGTCGAAGACGCCCATCTGGCGGATGTTCCAGCAGAAATGGCGCGGGTCCGAGTACGACAGGATCGTGTGCTTCGGATGGAAGCCACACCGGTTGTTGCCGAGCCAGACGTCGTACCCAGACTTGCAGAGGTAAAAGGCAAGCGAGTCCTCGTCGTTGACGCAGTAGGCGCCGGCGCTCTGCAGGAGGCCGTGCATCAGGAGGACGGGAAACTTGGGTTTGCCGGTCGAGTCTTTGAGCTTCTTCCTAGATTCGGTGAAGACGTGGGGGCCCCGGGCCTGCCGCTCCTCGTCGCTGAGCTTGGTGTACTCCTTCGGGTCGTAGACGTGCCACAGGTCAATGATGAAGCCGTCTTCGGTCTGGACGTGAAACTCCTCAATATCGAGGCCAACCCGTCGGGCGTAGTAGCCCGGGTCACAGACGATAGGGTCGCGGCCGCCCTCGGTGGGCACGTATTCATCAGCGACCTCCTCTTTGTCTGGACCAAGTCCCTTCTTGAGGTTGTTGTGCTTCCATTTCTCGTTGAGATCGTTTCGCGCCTTCTTTCTCTTCACTTCTTCGGCGTAGAAAGGTCTCGTCTCGTCAATGTTGCGAAGGGTGACCTTGTACCAGACTTGCTTGGCGACGAGGGGTATGCTCGTGAAGAGTGCGCCCAGGACAATGACCATGAGGAAGGCGAGGCTCAGCCAGAAGGAGGTGAAGCGAAAGATCAAGGTCTGGATGTCGCGCAACAGAGACGGCGGCCCGTAGAGGGGCAATGGCGGAAACAAGGGGTTCGTGTGGGAGGGAGGCATCTGGCGGCGCAGAGAACCCGACTGGGATTTCTGCATGTCATGGCCCTTTTGGTCAGGAGCGACGGCAATCTGGTCGGTGGATTGCGAGTGACGGGCGGCGGCCCCATCCTTCGCGTCGCCTTCCTGCTTGATCTGCACAACGTGAGGGCCATCCTCGAGCTCTTCCCTCAGCAAGTTGAGCTTGTGGGCCTCTTCGAGGGGCACGCCAGGTATCCTGTGACCCCCTGATGTGACGACGACGGGGTCGTGCGGGGTGATGAAATGAGCCTCGACGGGGACGTCAGCGTCATTGTCGTCGTCGGCGGCATGGTGATGGGCAAGCTTCTCGGCCTGCTGCGAAAAGTTGAGGGCAGACTTGGCGAGCGAGGCGGCGGATCTGTGGGAGGAAGTGGTTGTGGTCGATGCGCCGCCGGTCGATGAGGAGGTGGGTGGACGATGTGAGCGATCCGAAGGCGGTTCATTGGCTGGGGTCTCGACTTTTGTTGTTGTTGATGTTGGTCGTGACGGCGGCTGGGTCATGGTGCGCGAGCCAGAGCGCGAGGAAGAGTCGCCCATCGTTGGGGAGAGGGTGTAGCGATGTTGGTGTGCATGGTTTTGCACCCTCAGCCTGGTTGGCATTGGCAGGCTTCGTCACCGAGTACCCAGCCAGGCCTTGATGGATGAAAGCGTGGATGCGATGAGCGGCAGTGCGGCACCGAACAGGGGGGCCAGAGTGACCACAGTCGAACCTTGGCTGAGGTACCCAGAAAGGCAATTGATGGCGCAGAGGTACCTGATGCAGGGCCAGAAGACAGGGCCAGAGGACAGGGCCAGAGGACAGGGCCAGAGGACAGGGCCAGAGGATAGGGCCAGAGGATAGGGCCAGAAGACAGGGGGCGTTTTGTGGAGGAGATGCAGATTCGATGCGGCGATCATCAGACGGCGGGCAGTCGGTTGACAAGACGCCTGACAAAAACACAGGTAGAGGTTCCCCGGGGGTTATGTATCCTGGGATACCAACAGCGAGAAAGAAGGCGATGCAGCATGATGTCGACGAAAGAGGTCAAGGGAGAGAAATGTCCGGTGGCGGCTGAACTGCATGTCCATGAGGGTGTTGGGTGTTGAGGCTCGCTCGCCTCTCGTTGCTCTTGCCAGGCTCACCCATCCACTAGTGCCAGGCTCAGTAGGTCCCTTAGTACGTGCAACCGGAGCATATGCAGTGCAAAACGTGCCCCCGAGACATGCGCGAGGCGCCACTAGGTACCTACCTAGGTAGGTAGTTAGCTAGCCTTGGGGCTCCTGCTTTGTGTGTGTGGATAAGAGGAATCAAAGACGCAAGCACGCAGCACGCAGCACGCATCCGCCATGTCAGCCAGACCACACCCTGACACCTACGTCATGGCGCGAGCTAAGAGCGTGCTGTAGCGCTCTCTAGGGCCTGAAGTGTGCTGAAGCCATGCACTGGGGACGCCTGAGGGTGGGGACATACGATAACGTCGATAAGGATGGAGGCATGTGAATGCTGACTGTTCCTTCCTGACGCACATCGGTACTTGCAGCATCGACGCGGGCAGGAAGGGTCCACGCATTCGAGCAGCACAGCCCCACTTCCCCTCAGACAGCTCCCTCCATTGGCCACAACCTGCCGGCCCTTCCCCCCCAGAGCTAAGCCGAGGCCTGGGGGTGCGCTCGCGAGTGCCTGCCGCAACCGAGCCGCGATCGACTCAACTCCAGACCCTAGACCTCGTTCCACAGCAAGGCTCCGCGACAGCTTCCCTCTCGGTCCATACGCCATGCCATTGACTCCAATGCGCTGAAAATCCATCTGCTCTTTTCGTTTCTCTCGTCCATATATACCCATCATGGCGTCTGCCATCCTCGCCAAACGCAGGCGTCGCCGCCGAAGGGCCGACAAGCCAGCTGCCGCCGCGACCCTCCTCCTCGACGGCAATGTCAAGGGCGATGTCGGCTTCCTGTCCGACGACCTCTTTGCTGATCTGTTTCCTCAGCTTTCCAACTGTGAGACAGCCTCCATCTCCCCCCTTCTTCTATGCTCCCCCATTGTCATCAACCCCCAACTGACCCGCCCGCCCCTCCGCCAGCATCCTCCGACGACATCCAACACGTGGCCATCGCGCCCTGGGCTCCCACTGCCTCTCCGACCAAAACATCATGGACCCTGGTGCCCGTCCTCAAGAACCCCGAGCTGGGCCCCTCTATCCTGCAGTTCTCCCCGAGGTCCCTGGCCCTGCAGTCCTTCCGCACGGCTCTGCAACACCTGGCCCCCTCCAAGCTCATGGGCAACGCCCGCGGTGGCATTGAGATTCTCGTCCTTGATGCCGTTGCCCTGCCCCTCGACGCCGTCTTTGTCAATCTCGAGAAGGAATCCATCAAGCGTCTGGAACAAGGCGAGGGCCACTTCTTCAACAGCCACCCCGACCACGACACCAAAGGCAAGGCCAAGGCCAAGACGGCCACCTCTCCCGAGGAGCATCTCACCGAGGCCCTGCGCGTCGCACTGGGCAACGTGGCTGTCCTACACTCTGGCGACCAGTTTCTTCTGCCTCTGCCGCCTCATCCCGTCACCCACGTGCCGCCCAATGGCGGCGAGATCGTCATGTGCGAGCCCTATAATCAGGGCATCTTGACGCCCGACACCAAAATTGTGCTCATGCGCGGCAACGTGCGCGCCAAGTCTGGGCGCACGCCGGCCGCCATGGCCGCAAACCGTGGACTCAACGGCGTGCCCGAGGACGACGAGGACACCGCCAACGACCAGTTCTACTCGGCCGCCGAGGAGCGCTACAAGACGGATGCCCACGTCACAGAGATGGAGACGGTCACAGAAACAGAAGAGTCTGAGGCCTCGGGGCTCGAGCAGGATGACGAGAGTTCTGACGACTCCATGGACGAGATGATCTCTCTTCAGGCACCCATGCTGCACACAACAAACGCTAGTGGCGTCTCCACGATGCAACCGGGCTCGCCCATGACCATTGGCAGGGGGAGGCGGCCCAACGGCATTGCGACACCCGGCTCAGTCTTTTCGTCTTACACTGCGACGACCGCGCGACCGGACCGCCCTCGAGGCCGTCTCTTCAAGGCGCAGGGCCTCCTGGAGCAAATTCCCCAGGTCCTCCTCCACCCGAAGCCGACACCAGAAGACGATGAGGAGGCGAGGATATTCGTCGACATTTCTTCTTTGCTGAAAATTGGCTGCTTTTCGGGAGACTGGGTCCGTGTGGAGGCGGCTGAAGAACCCCCCGCCCACGGGTTCGGCGCCTTTGGTCTCGGTGGCCTCGGCAGCTTGAACGCCCTCGAGGACGGCCCAGAGCCAAACTGGCGGCCTGTCAGGGTGTACAGTCTTCCCGAGGGGTACACGCAGAAACCTGTCACGAGGATACCGAGCTCGAGGCACCTGCAGCGCAAGCCGTCCTTTTTCGAGTCACAAACGCAAAAGCCCACTGGCCCTGCGGCATACATCTCCCCCATCCTCCTCGCAAATCTCGAATCACCAGCCTACCTTCGTCTCTCGCCCCTGAAACCCAGCACGCCGCAAGGCAAGAGAACTGCTGCCAAGTTCTCGAGGGCATCCCACCCACCCTTTGCACGAGACATCACCATCCATCAAGTCAGGTCCCCCATTTCCGTCGAGAGGGCGTACCAGACCGTCGTCCTGGCTGGTCTCAAGCGTTACTTTGCGGAAAAGGTCCGACTGGCCAAGGCAGGTGACTTGATTGCTGTTCCAATCGATACTCTTCTCGGAAAGATGTTTCAAGATGCCGAGGTCGACAACATCATATCCTTATCCAACGACACGTCCAAGGCCAACCAGGTGGCGTGGTTCAAGGTTGGGCATGTCCAAGCGCAAAAACGTGATGAAGACGACGATCTCATGGAGGATCTGTGGAAGGGCGTGGCCTGCATAGACAGCGAGACGGTCGGTATGAACCTGTCAGGCTTTGTCACGGCCCGCCCCCCCGCCAGCTTGTCTAGCACCTGGGAATACTACACTGGCATTAAAAAGTCTCCCATCCGATCACTGGCCGCCCCCACACCGGCCCTCCCTTCGCAAGACCAACGCTACATCTCCCCCCTGAGACACAGGCTGCAGGCCCTCCTGGCGGCGGCGACCAGTCCGGCCGCCATTCACGGCCGCATGTCACCGGTTGCCATCCTTCTCACCTCGACGCATCGCTACATTGGCAAGTCGACGGTAGCCACCACTGCGTGTGCCGATGTCGGACTTCACACATATCCCATCGACGCCAACGACCTGCTGAGCGAGGCAGAAGGGAGCGGCAGCGACGTCAAGACGGAAGGATTCCTCAAAGCTCGAGCGGAGCGTGGCCTGAGTTGTGGCGCCGACTGCACGGTGTTGCTGTTCAAGCACATTGAGGGCCTGACGGCAGACCGCATGGTGTCGACGATGAAAGGGCTACTCCAAGAGTCGAGGGTGTTGATTGCGACGACAAATGACGTCGACAAGCTGCCCAAGGGCCTGCGCAGCCTCTTCACATACGAACTTGAGATGGGCGCTCCTGACGAGGTCGAACGCGCTGGCATCTTGAAGAGCGTTGTTGATGATATGGGACTCGACCTTGATCTCGACGTTGAAATCACTGGCGTTGCGCTGAAGACGGCTGCCTTTGTGGCAGGTGGATTGGTGGACGCGGTGGAGCGGGCTCGCATCGCCCGCAACCTGCGGTTGGAGGACATGTCAAGAAAGGCCTCGAGCGACAACCGACTTGTGACCGTCAGGGACGTCGAAGTTTCGGGCGGACCACAAGCCACCGGATGCCCTGCAGCACGCAGCGTGACCAAGACCGATTTTGACGTTGCCGTGGAGAAGGCCCGCAAGAACTTTGCTGGTGCCATTGGCGCACCCAAGATCCCCAACGTCACCTGGGACGACGTGGGTGGCCTGCAATACGTCAAGGACGCTGTCAAGGAGACTATCCAACTGCCCCTCGAGAGGCCGGAGCTGTTCGCCAAGGGGCTCAAGAAGCGCTCCGGCATTTTGTTCTACGGCCCTCCCGGAACGGGCAAGACGCTCCTCGCCAAGGCCATCGCCACCGAGTACAGCCTCAACTTTTTCAGCGTCAAGGGCCCCGAGCTGCTCAACATGTACATTGGTGAGTCGGAAGCCAACGTGCGCCGCGTCTTCCAAAAGGCGAGAGATGCGCGCCCTTGCGTTGTCTTCTTCGACGAGCTCGACTCGGTCGCGCCCAAGCGTGGCAACCAGGGAGACAGTGGCGGCGTCATGGACCGCATCGTGTCGCAGCTCCTCGCTGAGCTCGACGGCATGTCGGGCGGCAGCGATGGCGGCGGCGGCGTCTTCGTCATTGGCGCGACCAACAGGCCTGACTTGCTGGATCCGGCACTGCTGCGACCGGGCCGCTTCGACAAGATGCTGTACCTTAGTGTAGCCGACACGCGCGAGACGCAGCTCAAGATCCTTGAGGCTGTCACCCGCAAGTATGTTCTTCAGTCTATCCCAGTCCCAGTTTCCTCCCTTTTATTGTTGGCTCCATCCCAGCCAGGAAAACCAGACCAGCTAACAAGTGGCCAGGTTCACCCTCCACCCCTCACTCTCGCTCGACCGCGTCGCCTCCCAGCTGCCCTACCACTACACGGGCGCAGATTACTACGCTCTTTGCAGCGACGCCATGCTCAAGGCTATCACACGCCAGACGTCGTCCGTCGACGCCAAGGTGGCGGCCATCAACGCAGCACGCGGCCCAGACCAGCACCCCATTTCGACGGCCAACTTTTTCGACCATCACGCCACGGCCGAGGATATTGCTGTCGTCGTGACGGAAGAGGACTTCCTCGCCGCCGACAGGGAGCTCGTGCCGTCCGTCAGCGCGGGCGAGCTGGCGCGGTATGAGACGATGAGGCGGTCGTTCGAGGGCCCGGCGCAGAAGGAAGGACAGGGGGCTGACGTCGCGAGACCAGGCGGCGGTGCTGCGAGGGCCGTATCTGGCGAGTCGGTCGCCAGTTCCAAAGGCAAAGGCAAGGCGCCAGCGCGGGATAAGGGCAAGGGAAAAGCGCTGGCGGTGGACAGCGACGATGACGAGGATCGAGCCCCCAACGGCCGCGTCAACAAGGGCAAGGGCAAAGCTGCCTTTCAGCACGGGACGGCGGATGATGATGACGAGCTGTACTGATATGAACCGAATGTAGAAGACATTGGCGAGGCTGGCAAATTTGACGGCATTGAGCGGGCCATTTATTCGTGTTGAATTAAACTCACAGTGAACGTCAAGTAACAAATAGGCAGACCTAAGCTGTAGGCCGAACAGAGAACACCCTGCCTCTCCGAGTAACGCCGCCAAGTCAAGCAATCGGGAAGACACACCTGTTCAACCCGTGCATCCCCATATCTACTTGTCCGCTGTCGGCGCAGCAGTCGCAGCAGCCGGAGCCGGCGCTGCTGCTGCTGGCTTCTTGACTTGTTCTTCCTCGTCGTCGTCATCGTCCTCCTCGCTCTCGCTCTCGCTTTCTTCATCACTTTCACTTGCGCTCTCTACCGGCTTCGGAACAGGCGGAGCAGCAGCAGCAGCAGGGGCAGGGGCAGCGGGCGGCGTGGCAACAGAAGCAGACGTAGCAGCGGCAGGTTTAGCAACCGCAGCCTCGGCCTTGTCCTCGCCGTCCTCCTCGGATTCCTCCTCGTCGCTGTCCTCCTCACTGCTGTCCTCCTCCTCCTCCTCCTCCTCTTCCTCTTCGCTGCTTTCTTCCTCTTCCTCTTCCTCTTCGTCCTCGTCATCCTCGTCCTCGTCCTCCTCGGGTATCGCCTCGGCCTTCTCGATGGCGGCGATATCCTCCTGCGACGCCGCCGCGAGGGCAGCGCCCATGTGGCTCGCGGCGGGGGCCTCAAACGTGGCGGCGGCCTTCCAGCGCGCCGTCGTCGGCGACTGCAGCGTCTCGCGCAGGGCGTCGGTCGAGGCCGGCGAGGCGGGCACCCAGGTCGTGCGGGTCGGGGACTGCAGGGCCGTCGCGGCGCGGAAGGCCGAGATGCTGCTGCTGCTGCCGCCGGGGGCGGACGAGGAGGTCGTCGTGGCCAGGGAGGAAGTCGAGGTCGAGGCGGCGGCGGCCTTGGCTGGGGTTGTGGGTGCGGGCTTTGCTTCTGCTTCTTTCTCGGCCGTCGTGTCCTGCTCGGTTGGTTTTGTTTCTGTCTGTGCCGTCGGTTTGTCTTCCGTCTTCTTTTCCTCGACTGCCTTGTCCTCGGTCTTCGCAACTGCTGCCTTGTCCTCGGCCTTCGCAACTGCTGCCTTGTCCTCCGGCTTCGCAACTGCTGCCTTGTCTTCTGCCTCCTTCGTCGAGGCCTCTGCCTTGGCTTTCTCCTCGGCCTTGGCCTTGCTGCCGTGGACCTTCGCCCGCAGCGCCGCGAGACGCAGGTCCTTCGCCTTCTGGGCCGCCTCGTCGGCGATGGAGCGGATCGGCATCGTCACCTTTTCGCCCGTCTCGGCCTTCTTCGCCGGTGCCGCGGTAGCCGCTTTCTTCTCATCGGCCGGGGGCAGCGGCGGGGCGGCCGGCGGGGCGGCCGGCTTCGCGGAGGATGAGGACGAGGCCGACGCTGCCGCCGCCGCCGCGGCTGCCGCACCGGCCGCGGCTTTGGAACCGGCTTTGGACCCGCCCTTCATGGGGGCGCCGGTGATGGGATGGACGAATCGTTTCGGCGGGTCTTTCGGCTTGTTGTGGATGGTGGGGATGGTGAACTCGTCGTAGTAGATCTTGACGTGCTGCTTCAGCTCGCCGTACTCGTTCCAGTCTTCGATTTCAACGAGGTCCTGGTAGGGGCCTTTGCGTTAGCTGTGGTGTGACGAATGGGGGACGCGATGAATGAAGACTGGGCATTACCCCGAGGATGAGACCCTCCTGCGCCAGGCCGGGCAGCTTGCGCACGCGGCCGGATGCATCTTTGCCGGCGCGGCGTCCCCAGAGCATGCGGGCCTTTTGGTCGGTGGCGAGGTCGACGGCCTTGAAGGGGACGCGGTTCGCGCGGAGGATGGTCTCGAGGCGCGACGTGGCTGTGACAATGTGCGAGGAGCCGGCTGTCAGGGAGGTGAAGATGTAGAGGGCTGGGTCGGTCGAGAAGGTCGTCATGATGGGCTGGCGGGGTCTTTCGTCGTTGCTGTCAAGGGGGAGAGGATGAACAGTTGGCTGAGATGGGTCGTACGTCAGAAAAGAAGGTGGTGGTGCCTCCAGGGCTGTCCTGGATGGGGTCGTCGTGGAAGAGAAGGCTGAGGATGTTCGTGGTGTAGTTTGGGGAAGTCTAGGAAACTTTCAGGAGCCTTGGGCATCGGGCGTCGTCACCTGGGCGAGGTACGGACGTGGAAAGTAAGGGTCGGGTTGGGCCCCACCTCGTCCTCACTGCTGAAACGGAGCTTCTGAACGTCCAACGTGCGGGGGCGGGGTAGTTACGGTGGTCCTTATCAGCTGGATGTCTCCTGACGCTGTGAGAAGGAAAGATGTCATATTGCTTGAGACTCATTCATGAGACAAACAAATTATCCTTTAACGCATTTTCCTACACGAGGTCATCTTTGATCGTCTCTCGTTTTCGATCCCACCATCTGCACCCAGTCTTTGTCGTGACCAATGTCGTATCCGCCTCCCCCGCTTGCTTCCCCTGGGACGCCCGCAGTCTCAGTATTATGTACGTCCATCTCAACAGAATGCGCCGGACGAGTATCAACATGAGGCTCCAGCTCATTTGATGAGAAACTTGCATCAATTTTTCTCGTCGAAATCATCGCCAAACCATGGCTGCAAGTCCAGCCTCGACGGATAGGGGTAATCTTGTCAGGGCATTGCGGGGGTGGTTGACGGCGGACGATTGGCAAAGGTTGGGTCGAAATGAGCCATAGGGTCCATTGTATGATTTTCAAGGTCATTCGCAGCTTGTGGAAACTGTGCGGCCATCGGATATGGTGCTGGTTCCGCCGTGGTGGGAATTCCCCGTATTCTGGGGTCGAACTGCGCGCTGCGAGGACCCTGAAACAGGACGCTCGCCGCCTCGGCGATCTTGGTTTCTTGCGAAGCAGCATCCTTTTGGCATCGAATCCATGGATCGCGCGCAGATGGGCCTGGCAGAGGTCGATCAGAGCTGGACCGGCCGGAGTCGGCTGGGCTGCCCGAGCTCGTGGGCGTCTGTTCTTGACCGGAAGACTGCAGCGAAGACTCTGACGGTCCCTGCGACGCATGGAGCGATATATTTGCCGGAGCGGGAGGTGGTCGTTCATCCATTGAAATCCCCACATCCCGGGTGCGCGTCGTTGAAGCTCTGGTCATGCAGGCCCGAACTCTCTGCTTCATAGGTTCCAGGAGGCCAACCAATATTTCCAACATCAAGTCCTGGCAAGCTTTAGCCTGCGGTCCAAAGAGTTGATCAACCTTAGTTGTCGCCAGCCTTCGTATTTGACCGGGCATCACCCTTCTCAAGTAATTTTCGAATGATTCTGGACCTGCGTCGTTATCGAATCCAATGCCTGGCAGGATGTTAACCACCGCGGCTCGACACGGATCTTGAAGCAAGATGCCACTTACGAGGGTCGGGTATCTGGTCGTCTTCAACCTCAAATATTGTTTTGTACACTTTCCGCCATTTATCCAGCCGGTCCAGCTTTCGGATCCCCGTTTTGTCTTCAAGTTTTGCGCTTAAGACCTTACCCACCTGGCACGTCCATACGGGAACTCGCCTTTCACAAGCTTGGGCTTCTTGAGCGTGATCTGCGAGCGACTCTGCGCTGTTCAGGACCATCTGGCACCGAAGACAAATATGCTTTGGCACGCAATGAGATCGATATAAATGCTCCCTTGACAGTGTCAGCATTGAGGCGCAGTGATCAAGGCTTATAGATGCGGCTTACTTTACTTTCGCAACCTCCTTCCACCCTGGGCTTCTGCAGGTTTCGTTGTCGTAGAGCCAGGGATCAAACTTGTGGTAAGGGCAGCCCAGACGAGCAAAAGGATTTTGTGTGTTACCATCGTGGCTCGGCTTCTTCTTTGCGGGTTCGCCTTCGCTGTCGCCGTCTCCATCCTCGCAATCTTCATCTCCTTTACCTTTGTCTGAACACTTTCTTTTCCGATTTGGACGAGAAGTGGATCCGGCAGGCATATTTACCAGGTCCCAGAATCCGTTGCTCCCATTTCCAGTTTCGGTCGTTCCGGTTGCACCCTTGGCGTAGCTCACTAGTCTCTCCGTCCAAACATCGATTTGTTCCACGTACAATCTCACAATGCTATCGACGATTTGCTGCTTCCTTATTGACAACGAGTCAACTGCTTCGGACACAGACGTCGTCTCGCTTACAGACAAATCGTCTTCATTGGAGGCCAAGAAGTGCTGCTGATGTGACTCGTCGATATAAAAGTCACTGGTTGAGGCCGCTGTCTGCAAAGGACCTGATTCGGACATTTCGATGGAAGCACCCGAAGACTTTGCCACATGGGCAGATTGTCCCGCGCCTGGGCTGATTTCTTCCTCTGGGTGGCCTAACCAATTCATTGTGCGTTGATTGGTACCAGTACCAACTGCAGGCTTTTCTCCGGCTCGGCCAGCTGACTGTGCTGACTGGCTGACGGGACTGGACTTGCCAGACTCGCTGTAATCGTTGATGGCTTCCTTCTTAGACCCAGGAGAAATATCTCCCTGAGTGGGTTCTCTCAAGGTAACATCAACCTCTCGTTGACGAAACAACTCTTTCGGCAGACGGGCCAAAAGATCAAGGCATCCTAGGGGATTGGACTTGTGCGGGTTGTCACATAGCTCCTGGAATACTCTTGTAATGATGTGGCTCTCCCCTAGAACCACCTTACAATCCTTGGTTAGAAATTCCAGAAACCAGGAGCTCAGACCTCCGTCACCCAACCACCGAGCTTGGGTCCAAAGGCTACATAGGGCCCCTAGGAGATGGGGATGCTCGTCCTTGAGTACTGCGCGCAATTGCAGTTCTGTCAACTGAAGGCGCCGAAAGTGCTCAGGGTGGGGGTCATCATATACATGGGTTGAATCAAATTCTTGGTATTTCTGACAGAGGGTGAGCAGACGACGGTTGACAGATGTTTGGTAGCCGTTGTTCGCGAACATGGAGCCTGAAAGGATCTGCTCAACAACGAACTCACTGAGCAGCGCTACGAGACGACGAGACGAGATCCCGGAGCTTCTTGGTATTCTCTGAGTTTCGCATCTGTCTCTCCCTTTGCTTGGGCTTGGTTCAACAGCAGGTTGCTTGCCTGTGTCTTTAATTAAGACAGTTTGGCCGTTGACGCACTGTCTGTTTGTTGCACCGCTAGGCCCTGAAATAATGCCCAAGTGTCAGCATTCAGAGTGATAGGTTCGGTCAGACTGTATCAAGATACTAGATACTGTACTTCTCGATGTGATGTGAAATGAAAGGCAACTCACTGAAAAATATATCAATGGCGTTGTCCGATTCAATCAATGATCCCTTTTTATTACTCTCGGCGCGGAGGTTTGTATCGATATCTCCGTCGGTATCCCATGTAGCCGATAATTCCAATTGTGTCCTTTCTGGACCGAGAGCCAGTTCCTCGGGCATTGTTTTGTTGGCGCTCATAGTTTCTGTGAAGCATCCGCTAGGGACAGTATCGACTTGATACGAGGCTGGAACAGAAAATTCATGGACTCGAGAGTAGAATGAGAGATGAAAGAAACTTAATGGGCTGGCAAAAGGGGAATGTATGGTATATATGCTGGATGGAGGTCGGGCGGTAGAAGCTAACATCAGACAGCCAGGCTGTCAGACTGAGGCACATGCGGGATGGTCAGCATCGTAACCTCATTGGTGCGGCGTCACGCGCAAGTGTGCGCGTTCGCGAATTTGCGACTTGCGCTTCCAACGAGCCAGCCAGCCTGCGCGACGCAGCAGCCAAGAAAACTGTGCGATGACATGCTTCAACGTTGTTTCGTCAAATCGGGGGGTCGCGTGTACCGAGATGGAAGCGCACAGGGCCATCCAGCCACTGCGGGGCTTCTCGGAATCTGTCAAATAACGAAGATGGTTTAAGTGCAAAATGCACGACAGGGTGCTCGGCGAGGCTGCTCGACGTAGCAAATTCGGTGGAATGATGGCCGTGGATGAATAGTTGTCGGCTCGGTAGCCAAGTTAAACTGACCCAGTGGTACATAGCCGGCGGCATTACCTAAGGCACCTGGAGAAACGTGGGTATGCCTTGTGTTCTGGCACATACGAACCATAGACTCAGGGTACCATATTGCCTTTCGGCTCGGCAGGTCGTGCAGCCTGGGATCAACTGTTGAAATTCAACAGAGGCATACCGGTTTGACGAAGTCATTTAAGTCTGATCGAGCAGCGTGATGACGAGTCGCTCGTGGTGTGGAAGCACAAATGATGCTCTTGGGGTTTCTGACGACCGACGCCCGCCGAGGCAGCCTTTTGTTGAGGCTTTGCCACGTCACCGGTTTGGCCAGCGATGTAAACGCCCATTTGCTTGGTACGGCGATCAGCTCTGGATGTGCATACTGGATGACGACAAAGAGCTCAGCCAGGCCTTACAATCGGCTTCTGCCCTTGGCATGTGGTCTTGGAATGTAGAGCAACGTGTCCACCTCGTGATCAGAGGTTGGCCCTTCGTCCAAAGCCTTTGCACCTATGGGAAGAGTAATACGTTTGTGCTGACAGTTGGCTAACGACCAGGACTGACAGCGAGACAGTGGGCTTACAGGGCCACATGCCGTGGGCTCCGACCAGGAAGTCACGCGAGCCAACGCCCAAACGACGTCTGTTCTGATTGTTTGATTGAGTGCACGTGACTTGTTGCCAAAATGTCGTCGCCCTGGCTCATCTCACGCAATCAACTTGACTCACATCCAATCTTGCCCTTGATCCAAGCCATTTCCAGGGCCCGTCTAGGCTTGATTATTAAGGTTGCTTGTGGCACCCGCCGGCAAAAAAAAAAACATGCCTCCTAGCAGCATCAAAAGCCCCTCACCCACGTTGCAGGCCGACGGCGCGAAAGCCACGGCTCTCTAGCGCTGCGAGTGTCAAAGTCGGGAGGCCCATCGACACCTGCGATGCCGCGAGCCCAGGCCGTCGCCGAGCGGGTTGCCGCACAGTGCTCAACCAACGAGCAGCAGAGAGAGGTATGAGGCATTACAGTGAAATAGAGCGCAAGATGGAGGGGAGGGGAAGGGCCTGGGCGGTGGAGCTGGTCATCTTTCCAGAGTGGAAACGTTTGTTGTTGGGCTAGGAAACCTTGTCGAGATTTCTCATCTTCCCCAGGTCCCTAGAGGGGGTTATTCGATTGCCTTGGAAGTTTCTTGGTTTCCTGGGGGAAAGGGAGCTTCGAGAAATTGCTGTGCGAGGGTCCGTGTTTCATGCCCCAGGCGGCGTGGTTTGCGATGACCCTTTGTTCCATGGGTTACCAGCGTCGATAGTGCCTGTTGTTGAAAGTTGCACAGCGTCGACCTACTGGAAGACGCTTTAAGCCAGTCGGGCTACGAATGCATTCGGGGTCGGACGGACCAGGCGAGAGGCAGCGCAAAGAGTTTTCCACGGGGCGGACCCAGAGAAAACGCATGTGGATGGATGAACAGCTCAAATGGGCGGTGGGCGGTGAGTGGTGGATGTGCTGTCGGGACCCGACGGCTGGTGGCATTGCTGTGAGAGGGCAGAACGTGGTCAATGGATGGTGGCATTTGGGTTGGATTGGCCAGGCGTGGTGAGCGATTGGGATCGATGTAGAGACGGCTCGAGGAAGTGCGGTCATTGAGTGGAGTTGACGGCAGACTCTTGCGCTTGCGGTGTTTTTCTGGTAGGCTATGGACCTGGCCGATGGCGACACTTGGCAGGACTCTCTCTCGACTTTGATTCATGATGGAGGGGAGGCGAGGGAGGGGGAGCGGTGGTGCTGTGTCATTGAAGAGCCGGTCCAGAATCCTGCGAGGTGTTGGCGCCAGCAAGGATCAGCAAGGGAGATCCACAGGGGCTCAAGGCCTGTCAGGTACGATGCTGCTAGGAGGGCCCCAGCTAAAACAGGAACAGCGGATGCAGCCCCCATTTATATGCCACCTGGCCCCAATAGGATCGCATCCTGCCGAGGGGCCAAGACCGAAGGCTGCAGGTACCGCTGGCCGTCGGGCGGGCAGTGAAGCAGGTCCGGTACAACAGGACATGGCAGCAACGGCCCAGGGCAGGGCAAGTCCAGGGCAGTCCAGGGCCAAGCTTTCCTGGGCAGGCAGGTGCAATGAGATGGAAATGACGGGATGGACTGATGAAATGATGGCCGTCTCACATTAGACGTCTCCTCCTCTGAACCTCGATCAACAAGCACGGCCATCGACTGAGCAACAAGACAACCAGACTCAGCTAGGGTTCATCGTCAGCAGCTCGAAAATCGATATTCGTTTCTTCTCCCTCGTTGCCGCTCGGAAAAGAAGACGTACCTCCCACATGTGGCCGTGAAGGCCCAGTATATGACGAAAAGGAACAGCGCGGCCAAGCGGCCAACTCAAACGCCATGGCCCTGGTTGGCCCTCCTTCGGCCCCATGGCCCCATCCTTGCGCCCCCTCCTCCTCGTCCTTCCACATGCTCCCAGGCGTCCCCTCGCTGGCGGCAGATGCGAAATTTTCCCAGGAGTGCGGGTGGGTTGCTGCCCACTGCCGGGTACGCTACCTGAATCGGCACCTCAGTGTCACACTGCCATGCCCCGGTCAGATCCCGGCCGCCTTGTCCGTGCTGTTCGGGATTAAATATCACACGCCTTGCTGCTCGTCCTCCTCCACCTACGACCTGCTCCTCTCCTCACCATCGTCTTGCTTCGCTACGTCCACGTTCTCTTCCCTCACGCTTCGTCGCTACTGTCGCTTTGACTCGTGCCTTGCTGCACATTACCTTCCTTCACAACACTTCGACGTTCAGAGCCTGTCCATCGCACTTCTTCGCGACTTGCTTCCGATCTCTCACCGCTGGTCGCTATCCATTCACTTACTCCACACCAACAAACAATCACCAAGACCGTCAACATGCGCTTCACTGCCCTCTTTGCCGTCATGGCCGCCAGCGCCGCCGCTGCGCAGGAGTACGAGGTCCCCGGCGAGGAGACCACCACTCTCACCGCTACCACCACCCACACCATCACCATCACCGAGTGCGCTCCCGACTACGCCGACTGCCCCCTCAACAAGCCCACCACCACCACCGTTGTTGAGGTCCCTCCCACCACGTCGGAGGTCATCATCCCCACGTCTGAGCCCGTCTACGAGACTCCTATCATCGAGACCCCTTCGCTGTCTCCCGTCCCTCCTCCTGTCGAGCCTCCCGTCGAGACCTCGTCGTCTATCCCCCACTACCCCGTCTCCAACTCGACGACTCACGCCGGCCCCACCGCTCCTCACACCACTCTCCTCCCCGTTTCTTCCACCGTTTCGGGCAACCTTCCCATCGTCACCGAGACCGAGGTCGTTCCCGTCCCCACCACTCCCGGTGCTGCCGAGACCTCCGAGATCCCTCAGGCCGCCGCCGCCGGTGTCTTTGTCCAGGGCGGCCTTCTCGCCAGCATGGTCGCTCTTGGTCTTCTTGGCCTCTTCTAGGTGCACTCTGGCACACATGGTCTTTCTACTTCTTCACTTCTGGCCACCACCATTTACTTTTTTTCACCACACTTCTCGGGGGATAGTTTGATTGGAGACCATTTCATCATACCACTTTGATTATTCAGCTTGGGAATCTTTCTTTTTCGAGGATTTGATACCATTTCGGAGGTTCTGGTTCACCAGCTACTGGATGGCACATCGATAAGTCCCACCTTTTTTTGGGCTTCGCAGATGCTTGAACCTGGCGCAAATAGGCTAGCTTTTTTGGATGGAATTGTCGCGATGGACATTTTATGATTTGTCGCATACGCTGAATGCTCTGGCTGATGTGATGCGCACTTATGAATGACAAACCTTTCACGACGTACTTTTTGACTTCGCGTGGTGACATTGCGCCGTTGTTCGTTGTCGATGGGGAAGGTTGCAATACTATGAGCATGTGTCGAAGACTTGAATGCCATTGTTTGGCGTGCCGTGCGTGTAGGATCAAACTGAAGCTAGCACGAATGCTTCTCTTGCCAGCCGTTTCAATTCGCCTCCGACAGATCAGACCACCGTCCCTCTCCCTCGTCGAGTTTCCCGACGTTCAAATGAATCTTCTGGAATGTAGCCCGCGCCAAGATGGCCCCTAAATGTGCCCTGGCTGTGGACAACGTCTTGTTGTATCAGCCCTGGGTGATGCTCCTACCGGAAGCACGTGTCTGAAGCCCACATTCCACGGAGCGGCCCGGGGCAGGCACAGCCCACAGGCACCTGCCACACCTGCTGGTGACGACTGCCTTATCACTAATGACCTCTCCATCGCCATCCAAGAAGGCATGCCTCGCCTTCTATGAAGATCTATGAATGATCCCCTCACGTTGGCATCCCGACGTTCTCTCCCAATGCACTCACACGGGTCAACCTCACGCCTTTGGTCTTTCAAAGCCCGAACCGGAGATGACGCAAGCTCATTGTCTCCATCATCCGATCTTGACTGACGTTTTGTCCTCTCGTCGAAAGTCTGGCCCTTGGCACTTTATTTGCCACTGTCTATTCGTCCTAGCCCATGGAACCGCCACAACGCCTTAAAACGATGCTCATCGCGAGGCTTTCTAGCCTCCCTGCTGCTTTGCTTCAGCCTCCACATCACGCCCTGTGTACGCGGCCCCCGGCCTGGTTAAGCGGCTATTCCACGTACCCTCAACCGTTATGCGCCGCCTCAGAACCCGGCGGAGCCGTACTATGACCCACAATTCCTCCGTCAGTCATTCTTCACATGCCTGATGCCTGTTCTAACTCATCCAGACCCTCCGAAGAAAAGTCCGTCTCCTCCATCGACGAGCAGAAAAAAACCATGGGAACTCTATGTCGTCCCTAGTCTGCGATCAGGAGTGTAAGCTTTCCCGCACTGCCGGAGGGTTTGTGGACGGGTTTGACTCACGCGCAATACCCAGCTGCACACTGTGCACAGAGTGGTTGTGATGCTGGCACCTTTTGCTGACAGTGACAGGGGCTCTTGGTGGAGTGGTCGCATGTTTTGAGAGACATGTTGCCTCCGTGTGCGGCTCGCACTGACGATATCTGGTGATCAGTGCAGAAAATGACACTTATCGAGGGTCACTGGTGCGCCAAATCTCGCGGACGGCTGCTGAACGAGCACAAGTCAATAGAATTTGCTCGACCGCTGCTGCTTCACGTTGAATAGTGAGAGGAGATATCGCGACCTTGTCGGGGTTCAAGCTAAGGTCGTTTGCTCTAGGATCTTTGGTGCTGCTACATTGAGGTCTGGGCTGACAATAGTAGATCAGAGCTCTGGCAGATTGACGGCTACGCAGGACTTGAGTGATCGCGAACAGAGCGACCTTCTTATACTACCCAAGGCCGCCGTCCGGAGGCGCAGACAAGTTCGACCCGTTCGAGTCCTCCTGCAGGTGATCATGCCAGGGGTTTGTTATCCGCACGACGTCAAGATCCTGCCTAAGAATGGCTCGGCTGCATGCGTTCTGGGAATCGATACCCCCGTAGTTCGTGGCTCCGGCCGTCATCCCACTCTGATCGTCTTTGCAGGTCGGGATCTTGATGGCTCCCCCCTACCATGTCATCCGCCGCGTGCCCATAGGGTCACGCCCCGTACGTAACAAACTCTATTCGTCCTTGTCCGAAATTCCAATGATCCCGAAAGCAACCTCACGGCGTCCGCGCTCGCAGAAATCACGTCTCCCTGTGCACGAATTCCGCGAAACACAGCAGCGACCTCCGTCCTCCGCCGTTCCGCCTGTCACAATAAATGGGCGGCGCGCCCCATGTACCGTGGCTGTCACGTCGTACGGAGAATGGAACCTCAACAGGCACTTGGGACAGCCTTCTGCGCGTCTCTAGGTATGAGGTGCATATGTGGACCAGAGCACACACCTGGGCGCGTGGCATCCTAGCCACGACTAAAACAGACGGATGATGTGAGCGTCTCCTTGCTTCAAGTCGACGGGAAGAAGGTTGCATACTACCAACCGGCCTGCCGCGTTTACCCTCTCGGGGAATTTCTTCGTGAGAAGACGGTCCTTTCATTTCCAGCCCCTGCTGTCTATGTCAACCCTTTCGACAGTAGGTCTCGCTTAGTCGGTTTTGATCCAGAGCCCACAAAGGTGGTAGTTTCGAGCCCACCGTCGACAACGTTGATCATAGTTGCAGTGTGTAGCCCATGTGGTGCCAACCGCGGCTGAACCCTGACTTGCACCCATGTTATGTGCCGTCCGATCCTCAACGTAACTGACCTAGCGTCTCGTTCATTGCTTTGACGAAGAAATTGACACACGCGCAACTGCCTTGGATGTTCTCACGGCCAAGGCTACAAGGCTCCAAGTCTGGCGGCCACTGATGTGCCCTAAACCCAAAAAGGCACGAGCCCCTGGACAATGCCTCGCGGAAGACTCTGCATTTGGTGCCCAAGCCTTGCCCGCGGCGGATGAGCTGTACAAGGCCGCAGCCGAGATCCACGGCTGCGTGTCATCGATCTGGGGGCGTTCGCCGAACTCAACGGATTTTACCTGAAGCTGCTTTCGAAACCACCCTGTTGCACCCCCACAGCAAGGCGAACCCGTCGATGTCATTTGGGGTTGATCAGCTGAAAAACATGGGTTTGTAACAAGCCATCGACGAGCAACCCTGTATGGGCCTTGCAATGCGCGCGGATGGGCTTTTGAGCAGTTCCCAACCGACTACAGTCCGTTTTGTTCTGTACTCGGGGTCCCCGGGCAGGGGAGGGGACAATAACAAGCCTCCACCAAGATGGGACGAAGTCGACCTGGGTTCAACTCGCAGTAACCCACACTCACCAAAGTTGTACACGCGTTGACGATCCGCAGGCGAGGCAGTGCTGTCACCGAGCAGACCGAGACCGCTGTCACCGTCCAAGCCTCCCAGCTACCGGTCTTGCCTGAAGAAACGACCTCCATCCGCGAGGCTGTTGGCTGGATGACCACACCACCTCTTCGGCGACCCATCCTCCGCTCAAGGTGTCCTGGAAGCTAGGCTTGGCGACCGGGGCCCCAAGCTCAGGATTTCATCGCCAGTGCGAGTCCGATGGCAACTTCAAAGGCAAGAAAAACTGCTCGTGTGACAGACTGTGCCATGGCCAGCGCACAACTGGCCAGTTTAGATATCGCCACTCGCACGCCGGGGATCCGGATTCCCTGGAAGACTGGTCCGACCGTTAACTGGGTCGCGCTCTTGATATTGACGAAGCCGAGTCATGGACTCGCTGCGTCGAAGAAACCCGGTGCACTCGGACCTGGAAGTCATGGGAATGCAGCCGGGAAGCACGGCGGCGGGCAAGTTGTCGCCTGCCCCGCATGTCGTTTCCTCCTCGTGACCGTAGCGAGGCCTGGCCGCCCGCCCCGCCCGCTCCGGAGACGAATCATCCACGGCGCTGAAGGGGAGAGGGGGGGCAGTACGGGGTAATTGCCAGGCGCACGAAACGAGCATGATGCTGAGCCATCTGCGAGGTGGTTGCCTTGTTCCCCTGCGCGCCCGAGGCCGCAGCCACTACCATTGATGAAGTTACAGTCTCTGCATGGTTTCGCAGTGTAGCATCGCCAGAGGTCTGTACACGAGCGCAAGGAACTGCTGATGGCTTAGCGAGCTGGATGTTGGGTATACATTGTAGCCTGATGGCGCGCGCCATCCCTGCGACGGGGGGGCTCGAAGACGTAGTTGGAGTCGCTTATCCTCCACATGCGTGACTCGCACCGAGGAACCCTCCCAAGTTTTGGAGTTCTTGGCTTTCACGTAGGGGTTACTCCAAGAGATTAGGCACCGATCTATCTCCTACCGTCCGGCCTTTAGGGAGCTATCTGCAACAGCATTCATGCGAACGGAACACATACGCCACGGCTCCGGTTGCAAATCAAGGGGGTTGCGTTCTAGGTGTAATCATTACTACTGGTTGCAAATGATGTATAAGCATCGAAATCGCCGACCTGGAGAGTCCTCTTCGTTACGTTCCTGCCGGATCGTTGCCCCGACTCGCCCTTCGACAAGACACACCAGCTCCTCGCTGGCCATACTATTCATTTTGTGCATACCGCCAGAACGGCCGCGAAGATCATACATGCAAAGATGAGGAGCACGACAAGCACTTCACAGACTATCCCCAGCCACTTCCTTTCTTTATTGACCCTGTGGTGCTGACCATGCGCGCATAATTCCCAAGTCTTGCTGGTGGGCTCATTCGCTTCGAGCACGTCAGGCGTGGCGTGATTGGGAAGTCCACGGCGAGGGCCCGCCTAGGTCGGCGTCGGCGTGGACTGGCCTCGGGGCCTCAAGGTTCGACATGGTGCTGTCTGCCGTTGCTGCTGACGTCGCGACGCTGTTGGGTGAGGAAGGGGGCGGGGACGTCGGCGGCCTGGTGATGTCTCTGCTGGCGCGGGTCGGGGTCTTGTCGTGCGTGATGGGGGTTCTGGGCGTTGTGCTTGACATGTGGCTTTTGCTTTCTGATCTCGTGTAGGAGGTAATGATCGGAGATGATTATGTGGTCTATGAGATGGATGATGGAGACGCCTGCTCAATAATAACAGCTAAACCGGGACCGCAATGTGAAGGTTGTTGAAGCTAGGCACGCGGGCTTCCGTTTCATTGCAAACATGATGCCCCCAGCCTGCTCAAGGCCTGGACGGCTGGCTCCTGCTGCCGAGTTCAGCCCACCCACTTGTCGAGCAGGGCCACCCGCCAGCCGTTGAACAGCCTCTCGCCGGCGGGCAGGAGCAGCGCGCTGTCCTCGAACCCCCGCGCGGCAGCGGCGATGACGGCGACGGGAAAGTTGACCTCCTGCACATCGAGGGCGAACGACTCGAGCATCGCGTCGGCCTGCTCGAAGGGAATGGGCTTGTAGAGGAGCTTCAGGGCGGAGCGGGGCCCGGCTGAGGGCCGGAGGCTCGAGGCGTAGGTGATGTTGCTGTTGAGGACCCAGACGTGCAGGGCCGGCTGCTGCTGCTCTCCGCCGCCGTCGTCGTTGTTCGGGTTTGGCGGCGCCTGGACCGTGGGCACGATGACGGACTTGGACGAGCCGGAGCGGGAGAGCGTCGCGAGGAGCGTCGCCGCGAGGCAGTCTGCGCCCGTGGGCGGTGCGCTCTCGGCCAGCGGCGAGGCGGCGGAGGCGGCGACGGTGGCGGTCGTCTGACAGGTCGTCTGCCACTTGAAGAGGACGACGGAGGCGATGGCCGTGTTGTAGAAGCCAATGTGGACGGCGCAGCTGGCGCAGGTGACGTGGAGCAGGCGGGGGGGCTGGGCCGCTGGGGAGGCGTCGAGGGCGGCGGCGGCGGTGCTGCGTGTCGATGTTGCATCTGGCGTGGAGAACTGTCACGAGGATAAGTTTGTGGGCGGAATGCAAGACGTGGTCACGGTGTGCGTGCGCGCGCGCGTGTGTATATGTGTGCGTGTATATGTGTGCGTGTGTATGTGTGTGTGTGTGCATTAAGAGCAGCAAGGGGGGTCGTGAGCCAGCTTGAATTCCTATCTATGAAGGTGGTTCTTATTATGCAATGTCCCTCGCTTGCCGTCCAGGAGAAACATCACCCCTCTGATGAAACTCTCGTATGGGACCTTGCGAGGGCGCCCTTTTTCGTGCCTGACGACCACATGAACCGCGCCGTGGCCCTCGCTGCGAGAGAGAAGAACAGGGGGGTTCGCATGGGCGCGCCAGGCAAGCCCTCTCCTGGGGAGACCGGGATGGGGAACGGCTCGGGGTGTGTGTTTGTATTGGAGCTGGGTATCGGTGACCACGCCATTGAGATGGGACGAAGCCCGGACATGGCCGCCTTCTTGTAGCTCCGTGCGGCAAGGATAAGGAATAGGGGGG